GAGGGAGAAGATTGACTGCTGATATGGCATTGTTCAATCGGACATTGTCAAGGCACCGTGTACGAGTTGAGCACAGAATAAGTGACTTAAAAGTTTATGTGTGCGTTKCAAGCCAATTTAGACATAGGAGATGGAGGGTTTGTATGGTGGCAAACCTGGTTATGGCCCTCACTAACCGGTGAAGACAAATCATTGCTGGTGTACGACGTGCAGTGTTGACTGCTGTTTATTATAAAAGTTTTTTTAGTCCTTAAAATCGATGTATATGCATGCAAAACGACGCGAAGGTGTTTTTGATATGCAGCTGTACATAATGAATATTAGGTGCAGTAGTAACAGTAGAAACATATTGCAAAAGTCTTACTGAAAAGTTGTAATATTATTAAAAAGCGATTTTCATACAACCGATATCGCTGCTATCTCATTTATTTCACAAGTATCAGATTAGATAGTACTATGTTCCACATAATCCAATAAAAATCGAGTTACGTATATAYATTTAGCTTAATCGAATACATCTTTTAACAGCAACATTTCATCAAATGAAATATTTGAATTCTATATTTCTTTGTTTCATAATTCATGGCACTTTCTTTCACAATGCTGGGGATTACTTTACAAGAGCAAGTTTTGGAAGACCTAATCAAAGACTCCAAAAATGGTGTTGAGCTATTTTGAACTAATAGAACGTATTCGTATAACCCACTTTTTAAATGCTAATGAGTTTTCTAATATTCTAATGAGATTGGCACAAGAAACAAAAGAGCCAATGCTTGAGTGATTTCAGTAGCGAATATTTCATATTTCAAAGCTATTTTGAGCTCAGTTCAATAAATGCAAAATTTCAAAAGTAAACATTTTTATTTAAGCTATACAGCTATCCCAACTTGCAAGTAATTAGATTAGACGCGGCAAAAGATCGACGTCTGAAACGGACCTCATTGTCCAGAATTGATTTTGATTCTAGTATCGATGGGTTGTGGAATTCTGCAATGCTTGTTTTATAATTCCTCCCATGCGCCCAATTTATTTAAAATAATTTAAATCAACATTATGAACCGCTTAAAACAAACGATCTGTTAGCATTCAAAACATAAGGAATTTTCAATCTTGTAGCCAATAACTGTTGAAATTGGTTAACTTTAATAATGAAAATGTTTCCCTTTGAAATTGTGTATTTATTGAACTGCATGTTTGACTTGGCAGAGATAGGTTGTCGTTCATTCCCAGAGGCACGAAAAGTACAACTGCTTCCACTATGCTTTCCACCACACTTAAAACACGTGTGCTTAAAGTCACACGGATTTGCTCTGCAAGGAACTCCCCGGTGGAAATTAAAGCAATAACCGAATGGTACGACGCGTCGTCCAGACGACAAAGAAGGCACCGAACGCGGTTAGAAGTCGAAGGCACATTGGAAGGTGTGGAATGAGAGCGCAGCCACAATTCAGTATGGATCGCGCCCCAGGGAAGTGACGAAACACGACTTTGACGCATAAAACGGAAATTTTCGTCATAAAAACGCCAATTATGTCCCCTATCTGCCAAGTCGCGAATCAAAGAGCAATATTTAATTAGATCAGGCGAATCCTGAGGATATTTGGCTGTGTAGACGCCCATAAACACATGAAATGCATTTAAACATTGATCGATCGTTGCGATGCGCCGCGGTTTTTCTGCGGGCTCGATACAAAACGAGGGCTGTTTCCCCAATTCCGGCTGTCCTAAGGATATCTGGAATTTGGTCTGACTGGCAGGTCGCACAAGCAAAATTCCTAGGTCCACGTACTCGTTGTCCCAGATCTTTTGTCGGATTTTATCCGAAACACATGCATCAATGGGGAGACTTGCCGAAATGAAAGGGTCAGAAGGCTCACCTGATGGACGGGGAAAATTGACCGACTGTAAAGCTCCAAGGCGGCTCGCAATGGCATCTCGGATGG